TCTCCTGCTCCTGCTGCCCGGGGTGGGTGACGTGTGTCATAAAACCCCCAGCTGCAGGAGGAGCAACAGCAGCCGCCAACTGTCTTGAAAGCTGACAGAAGATAAAAGGGCAACATTTCCAGCTAGAGCTCCTTCCCCAGCCCCATCACTCTTCCTCCAGCTAGAGACAGAGGGCGAGGGGGGAGGGAGAGATCGTAAAATGCAGTTTTACTTTGAAAAATACCTTCCACTTAGACACCATTTGTTTTAAGTTTACACTTCCGGGTGAAGGAAGAGAAGAGATGTGGAATTAACTGGGTTGGAATTGAATATAATCCCATTGACACACAGACAGACAGACGCATGCACTCTCATAATGGCACACACACATATTTCACTTGCCACACACATTTTGATACTGCACTCACACTCCTTCTCCCTCACTGTCACACACACACACTCACTCCCCTACCCTGCAGCTGAGTCTTATGTATATGAACCGTGGCTGAATATTGGTTTACTCACACAACATACACGCACTCACTAGAGCACGATTCTTTTCAGGCTTTTCTTGGTTAGAACGCCCATTAAAGGCCGTGGCAGTTTTGCCTCTTGCGAGAACGGTAGGACCGTGTCTATGGGGCAGATCCTTCTACTAAGCCATAGCTCCATTCAAGTCAAGAGAGAGAGGACAATTTACACCAGCTAAGGATATGTCCCTCCACACTTTCAAATCCAGTGACTGTGTGCATATATATTACTGAGTTTATAAAAGAGATTTATATAATCCACTCGTGTAGGGAATTTTGAAATCCTTGGGTGAAAGGCACTATATAAAAATGCAAAGTTTATGTATATCCAATCAGCTATCATCTATAATTATAATTACATACACAATATTGAATTGTATATAACCTAGTTTATGTACCCTATTTATATCTACATCCCCGAGTTACCCTCTCAGAGGAAGGTCAGCTCCCCGGACATGGACATTTATTTTTCTTTCTCACAGCATACACACATACACAGACATTTTTTAACTGCCTGTGGCCTCGTTGGCGGATTATAAATGTCTCCTTCTCGCTGTGATTTGTTTAATCCGTGGAAATGGTGCTGGTCCTATGTAAACAAGCCAAGTGCGGAATGAAGGCAGCTACCCATGCGTGGCCAGCCTGCCTATTTGTCAGAAAACCTTCATAAATACTGAGCCGGGGCTGGGCAAGGATGTGATGTCTCCATTTTTGCCAGGAAAGGGCACGAGGAAGACAAAGCGAGGCAGAGCGGCGTGTAACCTTTAAGGGACAGATAGTGCGTGTGCTCTTAGCCAGGGGCTGCTCTCTCTAGGTAATTCAGTGCAAAGATGGTTGACGGATTATTTCGGATTTTAGATCTGTGTGCGTGTATGTGCAAAGACAAACTGACGTTTTGAAGACAGTATCGTAATATCTTTATGCCTGTATCTCAAACATCTAGCCGGTTCATTCCGTGGGAAATTGACATACACACGCTCCCTAAACTTGATGAAAGGAACAGAGAGGCTATTATTTTGTGTGGCTTCATTTTAGGGTTCATGCAGGTGAAAAGGTGACTCCCCCTTTCCTCCAATGCCAGCGGTTACATTTATACACCCCTACGTAAATGTATAATGAAATGCGCTTTTTTGTATTTCTTTTTGTTAGCGGGTATTAATTTAAAGTGGCTTTATGGCTGAACACATTGTTAATTGTTTTCCAGGTCTACTTTACTGCCTCGTTACAAGAACTTATTGTGTCCACTGGATTATTATTATTATTATTATTTTTAGAAAAAATGCATATGTGCCTAATCAAACACTTTATAACAAAAGCAGTAATTACCTCCTGTAATTATCATGGTCCTTATTTATAAAAAATGTGAGAAAATGTCGAGTATTAAAACGTGAAAGCAGCTATTAATCAAACCTTTACACCTTCTTTAACTCAGGCGTGATGGTGGATATTATCATAAATCTACTCTGATAGTAACACAAGAATAATGAGTTCAGTAATGATAGCGATGATGATGATAATGATTTTAACCAACAAAGAATGGTGTAGATTTATTGCTAATAATGTGGTACAGGAACCTCTTCATTAAAATTACCTATATGTACTCCTCACTATTGAAAAGGAGATTACAAAGAGTAGTTTTGTGTATTATTGCACCTGCAAGCAGCAGCTAAAGATCTGCTTTGATTATTGCTAAAGGCCATGGCCCTCGGAAAAAAAAGGTTCTCTTTTAATTGAACAGCCAATAGGGCCTGAGTATATTACTTTCATGGTAAGCAAACACATCAGGCACAAACCCCGATGAACGGGCCTTAAACTAATTTAGAGTTAACATTGGTCTTGTTTTAGTTAGCCAGTTGTGTCTAGGTGTTGCAGCTTCTGTGATGTAAATGCATCCATTTTGTGAAGTCTCCATGATAAAAGGGATGAGAACCTCAAAACAGACAGGCTGGTAAACCTCAGCATAGGCTGGAGGGGTGAGTTAAGGATAAAGGTTCCTCCCGAATTCCGAATTTCTTGGTTTATGCGAGTTTAAGAATAGACCAGAATGTGTTGTGTGCAAATGACCTTTTATAACAGTGGGAAGAGGAGGGAGGAGAGATCATGGAAAGTATGAATCAGGCAGCTTTAAAATGTGCATATACCTGAGCTATTATAGTTCCCAGCATAAATCAGTATTTAGGGACTTAATAGACAACAGGGTTTATCATGTCTGCGACTACTTATATAGTAAATGCATGGATTACTCCTTACATTAAGGATTACACATGGATTACTCACATTTTCTTTGAAACGCGTATTTAGTGGGCGTGCACAGCCACCCACGTTTCTTAACGAAAGCACGTTTATTACACAAACCCCTTAGAAAAATGCTATGTTATATGACGTTTACTATTTTAAAAATGAAGTTGTGCTTAGTGATATAATATGAAATGTTCTCAGATTTTGGGGGGGAAATACAACAACAGCAAAAGCACGTCTGTCCAACCTTGGTCCCGTAACTTGTTTTTGTAAAGTCTTACATCCTTGAATTTAAGGGTATGTAAATGTAAATATTTCTGTTGTGCACCTATATCAACACATTTACTGTAGCCACTGAAGTTACATCCCAAGTGTTCAGCTGTCTATTAAAAGAGGCAATTTAATTATATTTTAGAATCCTTCATTTGGTACATATCTATTTCAGGAATACCAACCTTAAAAATGAGGATAAAATTGATTCAGGTAAGATGCGGTTAATATAATAGTGACAATTACTTTTGTATATAATAAATAATCCATCAGTAGTATTTTAACCTTGGTTATGAGTTATGAAATCAGTGTATGGGCCAATTAGCGACATAGTTTTTTTTAACTAAGACACTATAAACACCGGTTTTAAATGTCCTAATTAGTAACTTGCTCATTAATTAACTTTCTGATTAATTGTGTAGCAATCTAATTTGTAGATGAGGCACTTAAACAGTGATACCTTGTAACTCTTTCATCTGTCTTTAAAATTCATCAGGAAGATGCAGTTTTGCATCCAGTTGGATTCCAGCTTTGAAATGCGCTGTTATAGAAAGCGGGATGATATCTGGGTGCCATTGTTCAAAGTTTTCTCTTTCTCGGTGGGCCAGCACAACTCTGAGAAATACACATTAACGAGGGCGAAAGGACCCGTTTTAGAACTGGAATATATATATTTAATATACCATTGCAAGAAGATTCGACTTGTTTTGTATTGTCTCCCCAAATCCACCGTGTATAGTAGGTTACCATAGAATTTGTGTGAAAATAGTTCTCTCCCTCCCGCCCCCACCCTTCTTCTTCTAACCGCATATGATCTAGAAGGGATGATTTAATACACTGGACAATAGGATAATGGTGGGACTACATTTAAATCACAGCCTGCCTGGTATTGTAATATCCCATGGCTTTTCTATTAGCATCAGAAAGCACGGCAGTGTCTGATTTGCTATGTTTTCCACCAGAGCTATTGTGGCCCGGGTTTGTCTCTGGTCCCATCCTGCAAAAGCCTTTAGCCCTTATGGCAGATCATTCTCTAAGTGAATAGAGATGAAGGCAGGGATATTAAGTGACTCTATAAAACATCCCGGACACAATTGTGTGATTGATGGAGGACAAAGTGGGAACAGCAGGACACAGAATCCTGGGAGAAGCAGCCCTGTCAATGCGAGAAACCCATCTCTGGA